GTTCGCTAAGCCTCTGGAATCGTTTGTCTAAGAGAAAGCAAAAATCGGGTCTAGAATTTTGACGAGAGGGCACGCGCACCGCTATTCGAAGCGTTGTCTTCTCGGACGCGTATCCACCATCCTCGTCGCGCCGATTTTTTATTATTGTTTTCGGCTTAGCCGAAGGTTCGTGTGATTTCGTAGATTGTGTTGCAGTTCGCACGCATTTTGTATTTTACTGCTATGTGTAAGTGGCTGGTGGGTTCGCGTCGGACCTTAGTCAATAACCAAATCAGCTTTTCTTTTGCACTACGCCCTTAGAATATCATAAGGAAGTGCTTGTATTCTTTGCCCTACAGTGAGGACGTGTAAAGTAATTGATTTAGCGCTGCCGGAGCTTCGTTGGTTTTCCGCGCCGGCGCAGGCAGGGATAGCTTATAAATACTCTGGAGATAGCATGAAAGGAACGATATCGTTTGATATACAAATTTATTCCGCGGTTATTCCACGAAATAGGGACAAAGGTTACCTCGATCACGACGGACCCAGAGCTCATTTGGTAAAAGATAATGAACACATTTGCTGGTAAAGCATAATGCACACTAAAAAATCGCAAAACTCAACATAAATGAATGAATGTTTACCGCAATCACAGAACGACGACAAAGACAATGGAAATCTCAATTCAATCAGAATTGTTCACGAACGAATCCTGAGATTAACGAATTCAAGAAAGTCACTTAATTCCTAGACATTGATTTCGCCCACCGAACACCCAGCGCCGGGTGGTTAAAACAGCAGTAATTAATATTCACACAACCATGATCAATTTTCAATGAATGATTTCGTTTTTGTTTTTCTGACAACTGCCTCGCGGTTTCGGGATTCGGATGGAAATTACTGTACAAAACGCTTTTGTGTCGGGTTGTAACGTATATAAAATATCAAATCTACTTGAATCACCTGAACAAAATTCTCTCGTTACATAACATTGATGCAAGCTTGTGTACGGTTTGGCTTTAACGTCGATAGCAAGCCTACGGATGCCCGAGCGCCTCGAGCTCTCTTGGCGAGGTGCAGGCTGAACATGACGGGCGACATGCTGGCAACAGGTGCCCCGCCCACGCCCGACGGGCCCATCGATTCGCCCAAGGAGCGCGCGCCAGCTGACGGCCCCCGCTGCCACCAAGTGGCCGGGCACACGCTTCCAGCTGTTCGGATTACCGGCCGGTTCCCAGCACAGGACGCTTCACGGCACACGTTACTATCATGACATCTAAACACCATTCTTTACTTCATAAGCAGTGCTAATATGGAGCCGACCTGCCGGTGCAGGGACTTGGGGCATTGCGCCCAAGAACACGTAATACGCTTGAATTCCGTGTATGACTGATTTTATCAGTTGTGCCATAGTTAAGCTCCTTGCCATTAAACCCGGATATTCCCCGACGGACTTGTGAGTCAAATTGATTCCCGAAAAAAGTATGTACTTACGAACTTACGAGCCACATCGGCATGGCGCTTACCCATACCAAGCAACAAAGTTGTTGAACTTCGAGCAACGTCTCCGCCTCAGTAAGGGACGTCCGTAGTCACCGAAAGGAGTGAGGACGAATGTAGAGAATCCAGCTATCCACTTCTGACATGGAGCGGCTCCCTTTAACTTTCATGAATCTGATATCTGTCCAGTTGAATTCGAAATCAAACTCTTTCTTGAAAATGGACACCCGATCCTGATAAAAGCAATAATTCGACACGAAAAACGAAAAGTTCTCAATAAAACTGGTAATTCTCCGTTGAAGTCAAAATGGGTATAGAACAAAGATATTCCGAATGGTGTGGAAGCCCGCATTGATCCCAAACATTGTAGGAAACCCGTCGCCGACGATTGGGACCTCTAAACGGTGAATAATCCCATGCTGAACTCGCACCGTTCGAATTCCCAACACTCAGAGAAAGTCTATATGGCAATTCACAATTCCTCATTGCCAGAACCTCTATTCCGGTCACCCATGGCCGCGATGCCGTGGAGTCGCACCAAGTTCTATTGCTCAACGCGCGAACCTACGGAAGGGTACACATTAATGGTGAGCTGCGAACGCGTCGCACGAATATGCACGAAAGCGAATGTGACGCTGTTGAACGTTCCCGAGAAGAGAAGTCATTCTTCTCACAAACGACCTCCGCCATTTTTCAGAGAGCAGTCAAGTCAAACCGAAAAAACTGCTAAAAGACGAAGGTAATTTGCCTCAAAGAAAACGAGAGCTGTGTAGAATGATGCAGTGCAGCCGTGCATGCTACTACGCCCCCGTCGTGCTTCGAGAAACAGAGATTAACGATGTGTCTGTCTTGTCAAACCGGCGGGCGTATCTTCGGGCGTATTTTTCGCTCGCCACACACTGAAGAAAATGCTTTGTACTTCAGCAAGTGCCATTTGCGTTTGTTTTTTCTCGGAATTCCCATATTTTTCGAGAAACCCAGTGGAAGTCCACCAATTTACAATAAAATATTAGTTATTCCGGACACGTCAACTGCTAGTCATGTCCCACAAGTGTAGTTCATGTTTTATCGCGGGAGGTGGCGATGATCTTTCCTCGTTGGATGGAGAGGTCCGGCGTCAACCCGGTCGGCATGGAGGGTTTTCCCCAATCAGATTTCTCCCACCAGTTCGGTACCGCCCAACTGGGACTAGATCTAAGCTCCCGTCTGGTCTCCGGCATTTCTGGTAGTGTAGTGCATGAAAGTGTGTGAATGTGTGCAAGTAATGAGAGACGATCCGTGGCCTGTTTGATAAGATACTGTCTCCACATTTACCTAGTATTGATCGGAGAAACCACAGAAAACTACCGAGCAACCTCCGGGTAGAATTCTTCTCCAGGCAGCGAGGTGGGGTGGGCGGGCGGGGCGGGAGACATGCGCGGGGCGTTGGTAAGAGTGCTGGACCGGGGTAAGTGAGTCAGGGTGAGGTGAGGCCCACGGGTCCAGTCGGGACGAGACAGGAGGCGGGGTCTGGGTCGAGAGGAGAGGGAAGGGGGAGGGACACATCCATGTGCTTCCGCTTCACCACGCGCTTCGGCCTGCTTCGGCAGCTTCTTGCGCCACTTTTAGAATCACTAATATCCCATGTTCCACTAAAATTCAATGTTTCTTTCTTCCTCGCTCAGCCCGTATTTTCCGAATATTTGAACACTTTTGTGATCAATAATTGTATCAATTGCTTCCAAAAACTCACGTGATCATAGACTTCAGTTTACTTAAGTTTGTCGTATTATTCTAAGCGAGACAACATCAATTAAATTAGATAAAGGCAGTGAGGGCGATCGCCACTGTTGTTTTCTTCCGTGTGGATGAGAGCGTAGATCGAAAGAGCAACAGCTGACCCTCGAGACGGTGCGCGCGACAACGGGTCTCCTTCGCGTCGGCTACTTTTCAGACGAGGTTCGAATCTGCGAGCCATCAGTACCACGTTCATTGCCAGACACACGAATTAAACGGGGTTATAAAACGATTCTCCATATTCAAGAAGATACTATTGTCCGAACGAATTGGCCCAACCCGTCGGGTAAAAAAGAGCCACCGCTATGTAATGTATAGCTCTTTATTCCCTGGCAATTAAGTCATACGACTAAACCTGCAACCCATCCCATTCTGAAAGTAGAGTAAATAACAGAGTGCGACATGACCGGGGATCGATCCTTTCCCTAAACAGTTTGAGATTCCCTGCTACGCGCTCATATATGACATGTACCCTTTGGACTAGAAATGGGAATGTTTATTGGTCCTGATGATAAAATAATAAAGAGTTCACTTGTCACAGTCAAGAGGCCACGTGTGAGTATTATTTATAACTTCATCAGAAAAAAACATGAAACGCCGGGTTCCTTACGTCATCTCAGATTATTCGCTACCCCCTCCCGTTTCAATGAAAAAATGGCCAATTCGCACACTGAATACACGCATGACAAACCGCTCATCTAGTTATCAAGGCCGCTCCATGGGGTACCTTTGCGGGAATCTACTCAGTGCCAGTGACCCTCGCCGCCGCCCTCAGCCAGACGAGGGGTGGGGGAGGAGGAGGAGAGGAGAGGTTCAGGTGGGCAGAGGTGGGCGGGGCGCGACGACGCTCCGCTCCAGACGTTGCGCAAGGCGCCGCCCCGACACTTGTTCCCGCCGTGGTCATTCCACCCGCGCCGTGCCGCTTCCCCTCCTGCCTCCTTATTCGCACCAGCGCCCGCACGCCAACCCCGGGCCGGTCCCGAGCGCTGCGCTCGCACTACATGCGAACGACCCGACCCACAAGGGCGAACGAATGGGTCCTCCCTAAGCCGCACTACGAAGGTAAAACTTCCCCAAACTAATAATGATGGGTCTCTTTTAGCACTCTTAACATAGATACAACTTATTATTGAAGATCTATGTACTCTGCGTGATAAACGAAAAAAATATTTTTTGTGTGGTTCTCGGTTTGAAAAGAAAGTATTATTCAATTAGCGTTGATTAATATATATGATAAAATAACAAATTAATACTTTCGTTTTCGTAAAGAAATTTCGAATGAACCTGTCACTCTAGTGTTTCTCCTTGCACACCATATTTCGCAGTCACTTTTCAATAGCACGAGAAGTTTCCAATGAAAGCTGCCACACAAATAACGCGAGGGTATCAATCCCCACGCGGAAGTGTGAATTACGTATTGCCAGGCACGTCGAGTGGGGAACGGCAGCCGCGGCTGGCACAGTCCACATGCGAGACATCGCCGCACACACGTTGCAGCAATAAAATATGCACTGGGCACTGTAAAATATACGTGACAGATTAAATTCAAGACTGAACCACTGAAAAATACACAGAGCTGACGAAGAACTTAAAACACGCCCAGCATCATCTGAACATGTCTCATAAGGAGTACCTTTTTATTTCCCTTGCAACAATACAATTGTTACAACAAAGCCAACAAACAATGAATGAAATATCTTACTGGTAATGATAGGTTTCGCTCCATCAGTGCATCAATAACTTACCTGAAATTTTTCGAAGTTTTCTCTTTCCAATTCTAGGCTTGTCTTTCGTTGTTGTAACACTCGCGGCAATGACAACGATGCCATATCCACCACCCCCAATTTCAACGACAAACACTCAAAAAAATGATTCACAACATTTAGAACCACAACCTCGACTCCACCTCCTCTTCTCCCCCTTGTCTGTTCTGGACTACCAGTACGGCCAACATTCCCGATGTCCACACCACAGTAATCGTTGACTTATTATATATTAACAAATCGAAATACGTTTTAACTAAATATAACTATAGCAATATTTTCTTTATATGTTTTGCTTTCTCATATTAATTATGACAGTTTAATTTTTAACAGTGTAAACCTGACTTAATATGACTTACGTTGTTTTGAAATGAAGCTCGTATGGCGATGAATGAAATTCCACAACGGCGGGAACTTTGGCATTTTAGTGTTAGATTTTTTTCTTTATAACAAGTAGTTGCATTCAGTCTTTGAGAACCTTGTTCAATCAACAATCACTAATTACCATTTCAATTAACTTCTTTTTATCAAAAGAAAATGAATAATTCAAAAACAAATATATATTAGGAAAATCAACCCAAGGAATTACTTGAAATGCCTATGTTTTTCTTCTAAATTAATTCAAAGAAACCCATCCCTAATTTTAACGTATCCCTATCTTAGGAACAGGAAAAATAACAGTAGTTACGAATTTCAAAGAATGTCAAACATTTGACATATATATATTATAAACAGAAATAAGATGCCTAGTTTAAACAATCATTAAAAATTGTGTATTGGTGTAATACTAACAATGTTCAATATCTCTCCTATTCAGAGACTCAACCTTCAGTTAATGAGTAATAAAAAATTCAATGCTGATTAGAAGCTAAAACTGTTCGCAGATGGACATCCAATCAGACTAAAATAACCTACTGAATATCACAAGTGAATATCTTACCTATAAGCCCATGTACAACAAACAATTGTTCTATGTTAATTAATTCACAAAGGGCAGACCCACTAAATGTTCAAGGAGTGGAAGGCAATTCCACCCCACATTCTTTGAACAAAATCAATAAACAAATAATTTATTAGTCATAAGATATGGACTATATTGTCACTAAGCAATCCTGACAAAAAGGTTAAATCAGACCAAATAACAAAATCTAAAATATGGTCTTTTGAGACAAAAAATCAATTGGATATTTTTGCACATTGTAATGCCATATCTAGACGCAAATATATAACAGCAAGTCTTGCAAAATATTCAGCAACTTCCAATCATACTAAGTCCAAGGGGAGGTTATAACTTATGTGAATAAGCCATATTACTAAATCCTAAATTGTTAAAAATAATTTTGAACATTCTTTATGTGCTTCCCATCATTAACGTAGAGCAAAAGACAAAATATGAATAAATTTTCACAATTTAAAAGATTTTGACTTGTATGAAGAAATACAAATAAATTCATTAAGACCCTCTTAAAATATTTATCAAATTTGTGAAATAAATTTAATTATTTGGATGAAAATATCATCTGAATAAAACCCATTTATTTTTAGATTTTTTATTAGTATGTAAACATGTTCAGATACGTATTGTTTGTATTTGCAAGCAACCCATCACATACTTGTATTAGAGAACTACCCATCAAGTAGCATCGTCAGTCATTGAATAAACACTAGCACCTCCTCATTGGTCAATCTAATAGAATAAGAACTATCACTAGGATCAAGTAATGTTTTTTACAATGGTAAACCAGTTTTACTGAGCAAGCAGGCACATGAACTGGAATGGACAATTAACTTAATCGTAAATCATCTAACATGAAAATCAAGGCTGACCCCTGTCCATTACCAATAACCGATTACCAGGATATATGATTGGAAGCGAGCCTGTAATAACCACCAAGCCAGCTTCGGGAAAAATAATGCAAGAATGTTGCTTGATAATTTTCTTTAAAAAAATTAAAACTTAATCCAACGTATTAAGCTTTCTAATTGAAGAATTAGGACTTCAAGACTATTTATTAATTAATAATATATTGTAGTTCTAATGAATGCTTAGTATTATTACATACTTTCAATTGAATGGAGTACATTTTTTGACATTAACACACCATTATAACATTGACATGACTGCCATAACATTAATAATTTTTATTTTCTTTCATGAGACGCAATCCTTTTTGATGATCCAAAGGTCTGACTGAGGATCTTTATTTATAAACAGAATCTTCAAACCCTGACTGTTTTGTCTGTACCGAGCCCCCAGCTGCTCAGAATTGTACTGAAGGTGGTGGCAATTGGATAGAAAAAACCTTATTGAGAAATAAACACAACAAAACAATGCCTTATATCTATTTCTATAATGATGCCAATGTCGTAAACACCACACACATTTCTTACCAATCTTCAAACCATTAAGATTTTGATCATTGCTCACAAGTTTCAACAATCAGAACAGGAAGAAGAGTGAACAAAGAACTCTCATCTTTTCAATGACGAAACATGAGAAAAGTAATAATTGTAATTTTAAGAGAAAAGACAAGTAGTAGGAACACAAGGCACAATTTAGTCTCCAGAGTGCTCAGGGCAAGCAAATGAGAACTGGGAATTCTGAAATATTAACAATTTGCTGACTGCAATTAAAAATTCTTGTCATCTTGAACCCAAATGTGGAGGACCATGGGCAGAGATTCTAGTCTGTACTTTCATTCGTGAGGAATCTGTTATTGTTTTGAGGAAATATAGCTTTCTCTGAGTGATACCAGAGCTTTTGAAACCTAGGCCCACTATGTTTACTTTGTTCAGTACTTTCCAAAGATTTCCTATGTTTTTGAACAGGAAAAGGTAGGTAATTGAATCTTCAAGAACCAGGAACTGTAGTAGAACAGCATATTGTGTGCCAATCCACAATATGATTAAACACGTAGTGAGGGGGTGGGGGGTGGGGGGGTGAAAACATGAGAAGTCAAGATTTATGCAACTATCAGGGATCGATTTTCTGCTGAATTGACTTCCATGACTAGCACCATCTCTGAATGGGTGAAGGTGATTAATCCCAGATTCTAGTACATGGGCATTTTTTGTTTACTCGTGAAACTTAGCACTTTTGATTCCTAGTGTCACTACAAATGTTAATTTTTTCCATTTGTGAAAAAAAGTGAACTTATTCTCTTGAACTCTACTTTTATAATTACAATAATTTAATAAATTAATAAATTTATGAGTCTTTCTGCTACTTAGTTGTAAAGCATTTTAACTACAAAGAATTTAAAAAATTCTTAGTCACAAGAATCCTAACCTTAGAACCAATCAAAACTTACTGTTCTTATTTTGATAATTATACACTGTTCATTAAAAATTATTTTACAGAGCTCTCAAATCTATAAACAAAAAGATTTTAAAGTGAAAAAACTGTTGTGTTAATTTTTTTGAATGTTGAAAGAAAAGTAAAACTAATGAACTTTCATTAAATATTTGCAGTAAATCAGTTTTTTAATACAAAATGTACAGCAACAATTTCAAAATAACCATCAGCACAATTGTAGTCGGTAAAGACTGAAGAATACATCATACATTATTCTACCTCCACAGCAAAGAAATTGACAATTGTCAAATTTCATTTGAAATTTAAATTCAGGAGCAAAATAAAATAATCATAAACAAATGTTCTCTTCATGATTCCATCTTTTTATGCTGGAATGCTGAACTTCCAAACTTCTATTTTCTCCGACATAGTGGAACCTTTCATGGTATTGTATGTCACTGTATTTTAAAAGGGTTCCAGTCACATAAATAACTAAATTAAATTCACTGAGCTAATATGCTCTGTATAACAAATATGGTCACAAAGTGTTCATCACTTTCCAAAATGCCACATGGAATAATGCAAATTTTGTACAGACTGCCTCCCCCTCAGGTACATTTTCAATCAGATCCAGAACCTGAATTTTCATCTTCAGTGGTGGGAGGTGTGCTTTCTATAGGCTCATCAATTTCATCATCATCATCAGATTCCTTAGCTTTCTTCACATCCTCAGTTTTCTGAAAAGAAAAATTGAAAACAAATTGAAGATAGTAGCATTTTCTTGTATGTACTCAGAAGATCTATTACAAAATCAATCAGCCAGCACAATTCATAAAATAGATGTATTTTCTAGAAAGAAAAAGAAAAAAAGAAAGAAAAAAAGAAAAGAAAGAAAGAAAGAAAAAAAGAGAGAGAAGAAAAAAAAAGGAAAGAAAAAGAATACGACATTCACAATGTCGCTCAAACTACATTCACACTGTTCCTTTCTTTAATTGCACTGATTTTCACTTTGATCTTAATTTCTGCTTAGCCATTCTATAAGTTTGCACACAAGTTTTTCCACATCAATAGGTTCATTTTTGGGATGTCTAAAATGAGAAGAAGAAACTAATTTTTGACACCTGTCATTTGTTGCTATTGCAGTGTGAAACACAAATAGTTGAATCGCTCATAAATTGTCTTTAGTTCTCATTTTTATGGAAGTCACTTAAAATACATAAACAAAAATGATCACTTATTTTCATCTAAAGAAGCATTTGCAGGTTGGTTATAATTTTTAACGCCAAAGCCCTTTTAATGGGAAATAAATATATAAATAGGGCTGAAAAAATTAATAAACATCATTACTGCATAATTCTTATTATTCTGCTTATTTCTAAGAAGTCTAATACTTTAAATAATAGATTCTATATTGTTGAAATCAAAACAAATAAATTGTTTATTGTATCACTTCATTCTCAAATCCTTATATCAATACCAAAGTGAACAAGGTAAATCGTTTATAATATTTATTTTTAAAAAGGAGAAAATTTAAACACATGTTTTGATTGGAAGCAGATATTTCTTCACACCGTCACTGCTTCTCTTTCCATAAGTTAGTAGAATGTATCTCTCATCTAAAGCAAAACAACTTACGATTTTCTTAGCAGCTGGTTTCTTGGTATCAGAGCCACTATCTTCTGACTCACTCTTAGACTCCTTCACTGCTACCTTTGGAGTCTTCTTCTTTTCCTCTTCCTCCCCTGAGCTCCCTTCCGAACCGCTCTTTGCTTCTTTCTGGATGGCTGGTTTTGGTGGTGGCGGCTTTTTCTTCTTTTTCTTATCATCATCACTGGAGCTATCATCATCACTGATGTATTCCTTGCTCTTATATGCACCTGATTTCACAGGTGATGGTTTTGAAGGAGTCTTCTTCTTAGTCTCCTTCTTATCTTTCTTAGTATCTGCACTAGCTTTGGCAGCAGCGGCACCCCCACTCTCATTATATTCTTTCATTGCTTTTACATATTCTTCTTTTGCCTTTGCAACTTTGGCTTCCCAAATCTGAAAAAAAAGGGTTATTAAATGAATGTTGAAGACAACCTATGTATCATATCAAATGGAATGTTATTTTTTTCTGATATTGCAGTAAAATCTATCTAAACCTGAACCTCTACAAGCTGGAAACCTGCTTTACCTGGACAATTTCTCCAACCTGTGAAGTTAAAAGGTATTTTACACAGCATAATGCAGGATCTGTCCAATGTGGAAACAGAACAGTTTTACATGTCCTGAAGAGGAAAAAACAGGATTTCTGTGAATTTAATGCAGCTGGCAGAAAGACGCGAGATACTCTTAATGGAATGAACGCATCCGCAAGTGCTTTAATATCTCTGTCCATGGGATATGAGTTCCAGTCGGGGCAAACGTGCAGTGAAGGAAAGGATCTTTAGCTGGTAATGTAGAATTCGACTAAGGCGTTACCATACGGGAATCTCCCTACTCTCTGAGCGTTGGAAAGGTGTATGGGACTGGCTTGAATTGAAGCTTCTCCTGACCTCGCATAGAGAATCGCAACCCCTTGACAAGAGCCACATTAGTCAAGGTTATGCAAGGGTATCAGAAAAACCAAATACTCTGAGCTGTGATGCTTTGTGCCCTGAAAGAGTCTGCAAAAAGTCCAGGTGCAGCCACTAGCCAGTGAGGTGCTGTGTTTCTACGAGTTTCACAACCAGTTCAGCAATGGTTGAAAAAAAAACAACAAATTTAAACATTACAATTTTTCAACTTCATAAAACAATTAAAACGAGAGAAAACCAAAAGGAAAAAACTCTTGATGAATGTTGGAAAAAATAACAATATTTTAGTGAACAAGTTGTGAAGTTTTTCCTTTAAATTGTCAGAAATAATTATGTTTAATTATTCATGTATTAATGATTTCTTCCATAAATAAGTTATAGATTTATACATCTTTATAATAATAATTGAGTCATGTTACTAGTTTCAGGACAGAAATATCAATATAACAAATGTCATAAACGGAAAATCCTGCATAAAACAGAAACCTCCCGGAAATGGAATAATTTTTTTCTCTGAACGATTCAGATTTAGACAGATTTTACTGCATAACCCAGCTGAACCTCTGGACTAAACATATTTCTATTATTCAATCCTGAAATACAAATAGAAATTGAACCTCAAAATTCTACCTGTAAAGAAGTTTGCCTCAAATTGCATTAACCATCATTTTCAAATATTAAAAAGCAGGAGTTGTGACTTACAGATTTATCTTTAAGTTCCTTCCACATCTCACCACCTTTCTTTGCAATTTCAGTGATAGTTATTCCTGGATTTTCTGATTTAATTTGCTCCCTGTGTTCATTTAGCCAAAGCATGAAAGCAGTTGGAGGACGCTTTGGTTTGTTTTCATCTCGCTCCTTTTTGGGTTCTCTCTTCTTCCTAGGTTTCTCAGACTGAAAAAACAAACAAGTTTTACTAATGCATTCAATCCTCAAAAAAATTAAAACAAAGAAAAACTAACATTAACTAAAATTAAAGCAAAACAATGGAGAAAAGAAGAAAATACTTCGTTCTTGATATTTTCTAGTAATTTAGTGAGTTGTAACAATCAGGACTTGAAGTACTACTACAGTGCATATATTTTGTATTACTGATAATGGTAATGTAATGTTATTGTAATTTATCCAACAATTAAAAGAAAAAATTTTGTTCAAGTATTTATTTAAATTGTCAGTACTTTACTTCAAAATTACAAAAAACAATAGTATTTAGAAAAATTGTGCACAATTTTAAACAAGGATTTCACTTTGAAGAATAAATTGAACTTAGAAAACAAAAATCTCTATCTTCAATAATGTAGATGCAGGGGGTCGGGGGGAAAAAAATATGCAATTTTTGAAATTCAGAGACTTCAGTGTAATTAATTCTGCTCCATCAGAGTAAATTTTTGTAAGATTATGTTCCTCTATTTGAGAAAAAAATTGTAAATAAAAGCTTTGGTGCCAATTTTGGGAAACTGTTACTGGAGCTTGAATATGTAATGCTTGTAAACTTGAAGTATCCCCACAAATTAAATAAATCAGTTTCAAATTCATCTAGATCAATCTAGGAATGTAGCAATTTTGTTGAAATCCATGTGCCAGTTTAGGCGATAATGTTCTTCACAGATAGATAAAGAAACTGACAGTGGCCAAACAGATGTTTGGCAAATGAACACTTTTCTAGTAACAAGGAGCCCCACAAAGTGCATTTCCATAAAAATTATTACACTTTGAGATTTAGCAGCATTGCATAACTTTCTCTACACTACATATACAAAAATATAAGGAAAAATAATAGCACGCTGGGAATAAGTGTTATTTTGAATTATTAACACATATTCTAGCTAATAAAACATTAAAAAATATTTTAAATCAATCTATACCAGAAATACATAAGTTCTTTGAGAGAAAATTTACTAATGCTAAGTACCGTTAAGTATTAATGATCAACTCAATATATCATTTCTCTTTCATCATAAATTACTATCATCTCAAAATAAATGAAGACATAATTTAGAGGTAAATACAACCTCCACATCTAAATATTTCTTTTAATTTACTTAGTAAGCTTTACACACAGACCAGTGAATTGGGATATACTAACCACTGTTTTCGTCTTCTTAACAGGTTCTTTCTTTTCCTTTTTCTCTTTCTTCTTTTTCTCACCACCTGACTCATCCGAATCATCCGAATCAGTAGGCGTAGGATTGCTGTCATATCTGTGGGTGCATTAAGCTAGTTAAAAACCCTGAGCCATAGCTGGGTGAAATAACAAAAAATATCTATCTCCGCTGCATTTCAAAATTCCACAATAAGAAGAAATTGTTTCGGCTAAATATACTTTGGTTACATGTAAATTACGACAGGCAAGTAGGAACGTTCACAAAAGTAAAATTGCAATACACAAGTTAACTAAAAATTTTTCAAGGTGTATGAAATTTCAAAAAATAAAATTACCATATAATACACGCTCTTCCCCATATGCATTACGAAATGCACACACTGTGAAACCTCTCTGGAAGATGATCCCACTCAACTGATTTTTCTTGTAACACCATACCCAGATGTATGTAAATCGGACCCCTGTTAACTGGGACCTCTTCCTACCTATCACCCTATAAGTAACCCTATAACCACCCTAATAGTAACTATCATAATTTACCCCTTTTAAGAAATCACTTTCAAGAAAAGTGTAAGAATACAGTGTATTGGAATTTCCAGTAGTTAAAATAAAAATTGGCGAGATAAACAGTTTGCACAGAAAATGCCCTGTGCTCTGACTTCAGTCAAGAAAATTGGGGAAATATAACAATATACCATGGACATGATATAGTACCACAGCTGCTCGATTCATTTCATTTTCACTTCCAATATGACATGGATATGAAAGTGACCTAACCTTACTTTCAATTAATAGAGACATTCTTACCCTGTCTTTCTGGAAGAATATCTAGTTCTGAAGAATATCAATGGAGGAAATTGGGGTTATATTAATTTGTCCCATAACATTTGAGAGTTTGGGTTGCATCTCGAATTTGTGCCCAGTGCTCATCCAGTTTGTTTTTTCCTTGTTGTACATGATAAGAGAGTTTTAAGACTAATAAGAAATAGAATGTGTCTTGCATACTCAAATGACATGTTGAGTCTACCCACGAAAATAGAGGTTCCATTTTCAATCAAGAGAAGGGGACATAAATATTTTTAAAATGCATTATTGTGTAAGCTTAGGTAGTAAAATTGGAAGTAATTTGTTAATAACAAATTGTTAATTGATTTCTAAAGAAACCAAACTGTTTCCCAAAGTGATGTTGTGAAATATAATGTAATGTAATGTAATAGTCAGTGCATATTTTTGAAGTTAAAGAAACAAAATGTGTATTAAAATAATTAAAAATTTCATGCAGAGAAATAAAATTTCTAGCATGTTTACTGCTTTTTCATATCTAAAACATTTTTTCTTTTCCCAGGAAAAAAATTCTTAGTATAATGCCATTCACGCTCCCCCCCAACAAAAACACACAACTGCTCAGAAGCAAACTCTTTCAGTTCTTCTCAGTATATTGTTTTATACTCTGCTACCAACCAATAGGATTTTCAACTTACTCTTCAGCAACATCACTCTCCTGCTGATCTGGGTTGAAATCTTCATCAGTTGATTCCTCCGAATCTCCACCATCATCATCATCACGCTCCTGAGCTTCTGCTTTAACACGGGCCAAGTAAGCATCGGGCTCATCCTCCTGATCTGAGTCTCCAAAGTCTTCAGTGTATGCGAGTTTATCCTGTACAAACAATCACATTTAAGAAGCAATGTGTGCAAGACGAATTAAATCCAGTGTTTTTTTAAATAGACTTATTGCCAAAGTTGTGAATGGAAATACTAAAAATTCATGTTTTGTTTAAATATAGCTCGCATTTTCAAGCAACTTACATTCTTCCCTTTATTTTTAACTCTGAGCTTCTTAGCTGATATGAAGTCAAAAAGCTTAGCGTATTCATCTTTCTCAATACTGCTGAATGTATGAACAACTCCAGTTTTTGTTTCCACTTCAATATCAAAAGACCTGCAAATTAAATGCCTCTTAAGAAGGAATCTAGAAATTAATATACATTTTTCCACATTTATATTATATATTTATATTACCTGGTACCACCCCCACTTCTTGCAAAATTCACACTTGTTATTTCATCAAATCGTAGATGTACAGGTGGTTTGTGAATGTAAATAAAGCCTCGTTCCAGAGGATACAGGTATCCAGCAGCAGCCTTATAGGAACAGCCTATAGCAGGTGTCCCACTGTGACTATGATCATGAAAGAAAAGCAATGATAAAAGCATAAAATAACCTCAACATTGAATATTCTCAAAGAAAGAAGAAGAAAAAAAAAGAAGGAAAGGAAAAAAAAAGAAAAGAAAAAAAAATGCAATGAATGTTTGAAATACAAAGGAGAGGTACCAAATGATGCTATTCCTCATAAGAATTCAAGATTAAGGTACAAAATGGTGTTTTGCTTTATTTTATTTTCTGAGAAATATCCAGGAAGAAATACATCACAGTTCATTGATTCATTACTAACAATTTGATTCAAAGCTGAGAATTATTATTACAGATCATAATTATAAATTAACAAGAATTTGGCCTAGATTTCATTTTTTGAGAAGTGTTCATAATTTCCTTATCGAAAAATACAGAAGCTATTTGTAATACTAATATTCTGAGATAAACCCAAATATTTTAAGAATTCTGATAAAAAATTTGAAGATATGGGTGTGATTTATGATCTAAAATGGTTTTAATTATCATTTTGACTATGTTATATCTAAATCAAATAAGATTCTAGGATTTATTAGAAGAATGGTTGAGGATTTCAAAAATCCTATGCAGTTTAAAATCTTATATCTAACTCTTGTCCATCCTATTTTATTATATGCGTTACCAGCCTCGTCTCCCTTTTATCAAGTTCATATAAATAGAATTGAAACCATCCAGCATAAGTTTTTTAACTTTGTTATAAAATGAAATTGCCATCACTGTTCTTCTTACATGATTAAAATGAATTTGCAATTATACTGGGTCTTAAATCATTAAATTCTCATAGAATGTATGTTGATTATTTACTTTTGTGTAATTTATACAACAACCATATTGATTGTTCTGATTGATTATTATTATTATTGTTATGAAGAGCTCCTGTAACCAAACTGATGAAATTCCAGAATATATATTAAAAGATTGTGCAGATGGTTTAGTATTACTTCTAAGTATTTTATTTAACAAATCACTTTTAACCAACTCCTTTCCAAAAGTTTGGACGAAGAGTTTCATTACACCAATTTTTAAATCTGGTAAGAGAAATGATATCACAAACTATAGACCTGTAGTATCTTACATAATGTTGTTGAAAATAAATTGTTTTAAATAATGTGTTTGAAAACATTCTACTGGATATACTGAAACCTCAAAAAATTATAGAACAACAACACAGTTTTGTAAATGGTAAACCCACCACAACAAATTTACTGCTATTTAGTAATGATGTGAAAAAGTACTTGAATGAGGGTAAACAAATAGATGTAATTTTCATGGATTTCAGCAAAGCATTTGATAAAGTTGATATTGATATTCTATTAAAAAAGTTAGTTTTGAAGGATTTTCTGTGCAATGGTTAAGGAGTTATTTGAGATACAGAACATAGCTGGTAAGAAATCAAGATTTTCTATCTCGTGAAATTAATGTAACTTCAGAAGTTGCACAAGTCTCACTTGGGACCAATTTAATTTATAATTTTCATAAATGATATAATAAATGTTTTTGAAAACTCTTCCTTTTTATTATACACACGATTCTAAATTGAAACGGTTCTAAACTTCTACAGAAAGACCTTGACACACTACACTTATGGTGTATAGAAAATAAGATCCAAATGAATTATAATAACCACAACCCCCTGATCACAAACAGTCAAGTATTTTTAGGGCTTAGTGGGAACAAACACACAATATTATTAACCTCTTATATTATTCTTCAAGATTTTTACAATGCAGGGAAAAGTGTTAAAAAAAAGGTGGGAAATTTTAATTTCTGCGGTGTGACAGCAAGGAGATTGAAAACAAGGAACTTCAAGATAAAATCTCTGTAAATGGTAGGAAAACAAAAATTCATGGGGAAAAACATATACTACAGTTACACTGTAGTATAAGTATACTAAGTTATACTGCAGTATTAGTGGCCTTCAAAAAAGAAAAATGCTGTTGAACAAAACTATACAGTATGGTTTTCCATTATATGGCACACATATGGCTAACGAAAAATAAATAAAATATTTTAACAAAATCAAGTTATCAATGCAATAACATAGTATACAATAAATACGGAGTACAATAGTTCTTTACAGACCAAAAAATATCAAAATAGTTGCCGTTCCATAATGAAACATGTAAGTAATAAATATTTATTGCATGGACTGTATAAGTTGGTGTGTAATGCAGTATGAGAATAGGTGAAATAAAATAAAACATTTGAATTTATTCAGTCAAAATTGAAACGGTTGCATGGTTTTAGAGGTTTCTGAAGATCTAACTGAATCATATACACATCTCAATGGCCAGAGGCTAAATAGCTATGCATTGAGAAAGAGAATCGACAAATAAAATTCAGGAAAAATTAAAAATTATTTGGTTTTGAAGTACAGTGATCACACTCCAGCACTTTGCAACACACACTATTATTTGGACACACTTTATTTGAATAAAATTGCTTTATCTCAAAAATTTCACTACCCAATATAGCAATAATGAAAGATCTTCCATACACATTCATATTCAACACAACTCTCACAGACAGTCAATGCAGCCAGGAAGGTGCACATTGTGGGAGACAGGGAGTCTTCCTTCCAGAAAGGCCAACTTTACACAAAGAACTCATTAAATGTACATTTTGAATCAAGAATCCAAAGATTAATTGAAAATAAATCTCCTAATCATAAATAAAGCATTGAATACCATCAATATTTAACTGAACATTTATGGTACCTTCAAAAACACTGAAATTCATAAAATTAAGTTCCAGCTAGTGTCAGATAAAAACAAACAGTTGGTATTCAATATTCAAGTTATTGCTACAACTGAATGTCATACAAGGAAAATGTATATTCCTAACATATTATAAGATCATTTTCGATCATCAGGAGGTTGAAATCATTCAGCCTAAGCATCAGCCACCATTTGTAAGTAAGCGTGGATGAGTATTTTTGCACGTATTTGCACAAATTTTTGTCACAGCAACCGCATAGAGTAATGATCCTTAATCTACAGCAACAGTGTATGCAACACTGTTTAGAAATATTAGCAATATGGCTGAGCAGATGCTATTGTGTCACAAACGATATTGACAAGACACAGCTAATTTTCCCCCACAATTAATATTAGTTATAATATATTTAAAAACATTTTATATTCAAGTGATCATAAGGCCAATTACAACCTCAGATCAATTTACTAGCTTCTTAGAAGTCTCAAAGGATTAATAATCAATTCAATCATTGGTTTAGTATTTCTCGCATAAAGGATAAGTGTCTAATTACCAACTGAATTCATTAACTATAATGAAGACACTATCTGGACAACTTTTTTTGACCTTCACAAACTAGGAGAACTGTAATTTCACTAGCATATAGCATAGATTTTATTTCTATGATTTACTTTTAGTTTTAAATGAACTGACCACATCAGCAACTAGCTTACCACCAACACAGGAAAGTAGTTAATGTTACAGAAATTCAGGGCAAGTAACATACACACAAAACAAATTAAGTTTACATCACACTTGGTGACCTTAACTCTGTTTTGTTGAGTTTTTATCTTCACTGTCTGTAAGGCAATAGTGTATCGCTTCTTGAAAGGCAAGTTATGAAAGAAAGAATTGTTTACCTGTAAAACACTACAAAATCTTGCAGAGAGTAACAAAAATGAAACAAACTCACCCCACAAAATTGCCAGGCGTAGTGATTTTCCTATTCACAATGGCTTTCATAACCCTGCCAAGAATTTCGTAAGTAGGTCCAGTCATTGTCTTACTTAACTTTCCTTCATATTTCTCTTGAATTTCTTCTCTGAAATCATTTCATGATAATTCAAAATAAAACAATAAAAAAGAAATGGAGAAAACTAAACTAACTCTCACTCTAAATTAACACTTACAAGCAACACAAAACGACTACAAAAAAAGTAGTTTGAAAGTTCTGTTTCACAATGCTTATGAATCTCTCATTAATAATCTCTTTGAAGAGAGATGCAACTAAAAAAATAAAATTATGAATCTATTGACACAAAATATGGATACACACGATTTACTAATTTCATATTCTCCAATACATTAATAAAAAACCTCATTTGGATATACACTAGATATAGTATTCTACAAAACAAATTAAAACCATTAATAAATATAATAAAGTACTAAAAACACATGAAAAATTAGAAATAACATAATTACACAAGACTAAAACATTGCATCCTCTCCATTGGCATGATTCCTACCACCAAAGCTAAAGTAATGAAGCCGAAGTGTTGCAATGGTGCCTATTGGAGGATAGAGGCAGAGTAAGTGGTGCTGAGGAAAGACGGTCTTTTTTAATCACAGACACAGCTTAAGGCAACTGTTTCTTTGACCGAGAGGTCCTAGGGTTCCAGCCCCAACAGTGGCAGAAAGAATTTCTTACTGCTTAAGAAGTACATTTTTTTCTTAAGTATGGACTTACAAAATTTGACCTGATGAGGATTTAGAATACTTACTCTGAGAGTGGAAGTTCCACAGTAACTTCATTTTCTTGCCCAAACTGGAACACCAAATAATGATATCGGGTCTGGCCTTGCTTAATTGGAGGGTCCAAACTCACCTACACAGAGATAAACCTACTCAAATATTTTTTCACTCTCAGCATGTGATTTTTACATATTAATCCTCAACAATTACATTTAGTGGATTAGACCCAAAAAAGAAAACTACTCTGCAATAAATTTGCTTATAAATAAAAGTAGAGCTACAATAGCATAATATACCTTTTTATTATTACAAAATATGTTAATAACAAATTATGAAATATCATATTGCACCTTTTATTACTCTACCACTTCAACCATCACTTGAAAAACTCAAATTTCAAAAACGGCACCATCAAGACTAGCATTTGAAATGGTACAAGAATCCCCCATGTAACTCCTAAGACCAACCACAACTGCCGTATACTAAACAAGTGGAACTATTTCAACAAATACTGTGACCAACAAAAACTGAACTGGGCGCAACAATGAAAAGAGAAGCCCAATCAACACTAGCAGTACTCAGTTTCCATCACAAGAAAAAAATTCTAGAATCTCTTGGAAAACAATGAATACAACCTATGTGGAAAACAATGCCAGGAAAGTAGGAAGCAGGAAGGTAGAATTGACAATGTACTTAATTTTATACATACATTACGAATATCATTATAAAAATGACATATCACATCACAGTTAAAAAAAACAAACTATCTAGCTATTAATGCAAATACATTTAAATTGCACCTGGTATGTAGAATAAATATGTATAAAATCTCTTTAAAAATAAAATCTTTTTTCAGTTCATCAATGTTCATCTTCTTTCAAAGATATAAACAAAATTAGGCTTTATTTTCCTTTTTTCCTTCTGTATTCGAAGATTGTCTTCATTCTCTCATCTGGTAATCACGTTCAATTACTAGTAGGTCTTTATGGTGTTAGTAGGTCCTATTGGATGTTTTCAAAACAAGTCACGTGTACCCTCATATTTCCTACTGCGCATCAGTCACCAAAAGGAATTTGTTTAGACCCTTACCTTATCGCAAATATACAAGTATCCAATTGTTGGAGAGGAAGATTCTGAGTCAGTTGGTGTCATGCGAAACTATACTTACAGTGCACGCGATGTTCGTGTCTGGTTTGCGTGTACCTCAAATACTAATACTAACACCTGATCATGGAATAGGTTTTGTGCACTTCGGCACCCTGAAGGAAACATATTTGAAGACTGAGTGCAAACACTCATCAGTAGGTAGCGGTCCCATGTTGCAATTTTCACAACTCGCATTCAGTTTACAGCAATGCCATATTTGACTACAGTGTATTCGGACTCGGTTCCTGAATAACCCTAACCAACAAAGGAAAATATGGAACAGGAAATGCCAGGATATTTGAATTCTGAAATCTGAGAATAACAAGGCAAACAACTACTTTAACATCAAATACTCTATAGAAGGAAAAGAAAGATGGATGAGTATTATTTAGGAGGGCAGTGTTCCTGGAACCTCCCTGTCATAGCCACCACTGATTAAGTGTTGAACATGTTTGAAAACAATCAAAAATTCCCAATTTTTGAAATTCTATAAGTTTTAATGAAAGTTAGATTTATCTGATTTCATTAAGCAAATGTTCTATTCTAACAAATAAATTAACAGAGAGAAGAAGAAAAATTTTTTGTTTTTGAGAAAATCTTGTGAACCCTTTTTAACTGTAACATAATTTCACTCAAAATTACATGAAAACTACAAGCTAGATTTTGAATAATTTCCTAGGAAATGCCAGCAAATACACACGTCAATCATCAATTGTTACAAGTTTAATAGGGCAGTTAACACAAACACCATACTTACCACAAAAAACATTTGTCTCTGGTCTTTGTGAGGCAATATAAACAGTCTAATGACAGTCGACATGGGAATTTTATAGTCAAAAGTTTTACCATGCAACTGAAAGAAAGACTGAAAAATTTTGATGTCGTATCTGCCTCTGAAATAAAATGAAATACTCCACTGTAGTAAATGACATTGAGAGTGTACAAATAAAATACAATATAATAATAATAATAATGTAAGCAAAAGAAACCTTGGAGTTAAGCACTGAATTTCCTTGAAAGTTGTAATTGCATCTCCTGATAAATTGATGACACTTGCTTGTTTCATTACCTGCAAATAAAATTGAAGTAAATAGAAGCTAAATAAAAAAATAAAAAAGTGTAAGTAAGCATAAAGTAATAAAATCAAAAACTTCAGACAAGAAAATCTTGTACATATTGAATCTTGTAAATATTTTTAACTTTTTTAAGTTCTAATGAAAACTCACTTGTTGGTGGAAGGCATCCACAGGATCTACATCTCCTGCTAATTCAGATGCAGGAATATGAAATCTCATTTCCATTAGACCCACAGAAGCATCATCATTCTGTAATTTATAAAGCATACATACTATTCATATGTACTTCATACATAAAGCAAACATACTAATCACTTTTGTTTACATTTTCTTGCGAAAATATATATATTAAACCTTACTTGATGAAACTCCAAAGTAACTTCGTTTTTTCCTGTGGTACACTGAGACACATAATTCAAAGGTATTTCAAAGCCAGTGTGACTGCCAACATCAAAACTGAGAACAGAACCTCCAAATTTGGCTGTTCCCCAATTCCATCCCTTCAGACTTTGCTCTTTCTCTACAATATCCTTCTTATAATTACTTGCAAAAAACTTAGCAATTTTTTCCTGTTCCTGCACATAAGAGAAATTTTTCAGAAATTGAACATTATAAAAAATTAAATACTTGCTGTAAGTTCAAGTTACTTACAGATTCTTTAATGCCTCCAAATCTATGCATGCTGCCATTTTTTAGGAATATTCTCAGGCCCCAGCTTCCTATTAAACGTTGCCAGTTCACAATCTCAATGTCAGGTGAAGAAAGTTGCTCCACTTTGCCAGTTTTATTATTCTTAAATATGATGTGCTGGTCTGTCAATTTTAACCGCCCTGGACACTATAAAATCAAATAAACATTAAAAAATACACTTAATCCTCTCTTATTATTCCCGCTACTTAAAAAAAACAACAGAAGTTACACATAATTACACATTGCCTTACGAAAACACCATAAAAAATAAATGTTCGTATAGAAATTTACAACAGCCTACTACACAATAATGAAGATTTGTATTTTGAAATCTATTGAATTGTTTCTCCTTGTAGTTGAACATGTGAATAATCTACCAGAATATAGGAAAACTGAATGGAATTTCAGAAAATTACTTCATGGGTTGATGAGTAATCACATGTCCCAACCCTTAATTTGCAGATGTTTCTTCACGAAAAATTTCTTCCACAATATAGAATTTTGGTCAATAATTTACTTTCTTTTCTTGAATAATCATATAATACAAATTAGTACCAGTTAGTACCAACAGATTTCTTTAAAAAAATTCACTAAGAAGAACAATGAACACATTTTATTTTTTGTTATTTTTTAAACATTTTGGGTAATTTTCAGGGGGGGGAATTATTTTCACGCCATCATATTCAGATAATTTGCTTTCAATACAATTTTTACAAACAGATGTTTTTTTTCCCTCAGGCGGATCTAATTCCTGAAATTCTTTCCTAATTATAGAAATATTTGAGTTGCAAAATATTTACAGTACATTTTGTACCAAAGCAAGTCTTCAGCTTGGTGATAACATTTTGAAAATTTTTGAATTAAAATGGAATGATATCAACTATACTCATTGGAAATAAGTATGTGCAGTATTAGAAGTTAGTATCCTTAAGCAAAGCCACTCTTCTTTTCTTTCCACCAAAGCATACTTTCTACATACTAACACAATTTGGGCAGAGATTCATCGAGTATGATACGTCAATGGTAGTAAACAATAGATAAAGTTGTTACACTGCAGCAAACCCTAGGAATTGACTTTGTAAAAATGCAAATCCCCAGTTAACCCCAATTACAGCTTTATTTATCAATTTTACAATTGCTATGCTACAAGATTGTTTTGGAAGATAAGTCATTACGTTTGTCTCTAAAAACACCTTTTTCACAACATGAATAAAAGGTTGTATAATTCAATTAGATCTCTTGAACTAATGGTAATAAGACTGACTTTTAATGCACTAGTTGCCTCGTTACTGCCAAAACATTTTCTAAGGTGTTTTCCTAAAAAGCTCTCCGAAAGCCAAGTTAATGATATCAACTTTGTTCCCAATTATTCCCCCTGCCGGCACATGCAATCCACTATCCACCATAATCTAATTTCATTCACTTCCATACACACTCGCATTCAAAAATACTTCGTAATTTAAATATACAACAATAATGCACACGAATACATGGATAACTTTCGAACAATCACACAATTCTCTATACGTGAGGTTAATTTTAAATGAATAAAACATTTTTCTTTTACCATTGCCCCTTTTATTTCCACACATATATCTGAAAACTCAAGAAAATCCATTCTGTCTCTGATGAATCTCAGGGGTGATAAATAACTTCACAAATTAAAATCGATGTATAAACAAAGTCCCGCTAAAAATGCTTTCAAGCCACACTTGCACTACTTCACACACCAATTCCTTCACAACCCGTCCAGAGAGCGTTCGAAGCACCGCTCTCGGTCACCATACGTTTCTCTTTGCTTGATCATAGAATACCAGAGCCAAGGATATTTCAATGTATCACATTATAACCTCTTTGAACAGAACACGATAACTCCTGTGGTCAGTGGCTCAACCACGAAGTATACAGACAGGATACACTTGATACAGAATACACCTGTATACTTCGTGGGCTCAACTCAATAAACAACTTCAACCAATGGTGGAAATTTCCATCAAAAAACGTACAAAATAGGAACGTTAAAAATATTAATTCTACACTATTACTACATTGCAACCACATGCAGAAAAACCTGAACTTTTTGCAAAACAATTTTGGATAATCCCCCCCCCCTACGTCACATACAGTTTTTGCTGTTTTTTACTGAATAAATTAAAAAATCTAAAATTGTCTTTTACTAATAATCGTACCACTAACATTGTACTAATAGCGTACCATTAGCGCTCGTCTCAGATTGGATTTTTTCCCTGAGATGTGGAAAATTGGTATTTGACCCATTCCTAAACCACAGTATACCTGAAAATGTTCGTCCTATCAGTTTGCTCTCCAATTTTTCTAAAATCTTTCAAAGCGCTATTCTGTTTCGAATAATTAAATTTATTCAATCAACTAATCTCTTATCTCATTCTCGGTTTGTTTTTAGAAATAATGATTCAACTACTCACCAACTGCTACGTTTATCTGACTTCATTGCTAAATTTGTTAATATTATATATATATATATATATATACTATATATATATATATATATAATATATATATATAAACACGTAAACTGCTTTTCGTTGTGACACTTCTCACTCATCATTTTGTTATGGCCAAACTCGCCAATGTTTGATTACGTGCGAGCTGAGAGAGAGAGAGAGAGAGAGAGAAAGTGAGAGAGAGAGAGAAAGTGAGAGAGGGCGAGAGAGAGTGGTGGGGAGGCCACTTTCGGGCATGGGCAGTAAAAGTATTTTGTTTTTGTTTTTTACTCTAGTGGAGTTATAGTTTCTTATATAATTGTAAATTCCAAGTTAAAATTAACAGTACTCTTTCTAACGAATTTAACATTTATGCAGGAGTTCCTCAGGGTTCTCCTCTCTCTCCTTTACTATTTAATTTATATATTTCAGATATACTAACCTATCTTTCTCTCCTCTATCAAAGTCTCAAAATGCGCTTTTTGCAGATGAGATCTTATTAACCTTGCGCGCAGGCTGTGTTTTTTTAGGCCCTCGGCTGAGAATTTTTTTCTCTTGACTGCTAAGGCTTTGTGGCCCTTACAGCCGATGTAGTGCGCACAGAGATTAGCTCCGCAATTGCAGCAGGTTTGTTGTGAATGCAGCGTGAGCTGATCTGGCAATAGGCGCGCGTGTGCGACCAGCGGCAGCACTTTTTTCAGAAAGGTGCGCTGTCAGTGCGCTTCGCGACCTCGATGCGCGCCTGGCTGTGACAGATCGCATTCAAGGCAAACACCCACTTGCCATCATCACCCGGGGTGAGGTTGCCGAAGTAGGCACCTAACGGTATTAATTTCCCGTTTCGACGCATTTTCAGCTGATGTACTCCAGGCCTGTGTTTCCCCGGGCCCTGCGCGGCGATGTTGTCTTCAAATTCGTCCGCTAACGCTTGGGGAAGCGGGCCGCTCACGTAGAGCACGAAGACCCCGTTCCTCTTTACGTGCGTGCCTGAAGTTTGATGCATACAGCTTCTTCAGCGCGGCCGCAACCTTCACATGGTCCGTGGCGTTCCGTGCTTGCAGTGACAAGAATTATGCGCAGAACTTGCCCGCGACCGGGTCTTCGCAGCCGTGCGTCGCAACCTGCGGCGAAAGCCGCCGACAGAAGGTACCGAGACGTTCGCGATCATGATGGACAGAACGCACTTGGAACCCTTCGTAGGCTCTGAAACGGTCGCAGGCTGCAAGACCGACGAGGTGGCAGATGCTGCGATTTCGCCCGAGCACTCCGGCGATAGAGGAAGCGGTGACACGGCACCGGGAGGCGCGTCGGTGGGGAAGTGGCTGAGTGCAAGATTGGCGGGAGAAAAATCAGAAAGCTCGTTGTTGGAGGCGGCTTTGCTGAACTGCGACCGTTCAGCAGGAGGTGTCAGCTTCGCTGCGAAGAGCGCGACCAGAACGGTCGTCACCTGGGCCAGAAAACCCGTCCTCGTCGGCCTGCATCAAGGCCTTGAGAGCGCTAGCATTGCGCGAGGCTATGCCCTTTCTGACCTTTTTGCTGATTCCTAAAGGGACCCTTTGAATAGCAGTGAAATCCTGCTGGTAGATGGAGCCTGAGATATATCCCGGGGTGATGTTGGCCGAAGCGGTGGTGGGAGCAGCGGCTGCGGTCGTGTTGGTGGTGGCGTAAAACGTGGAAAGGTCCTCGGGCGCTACTGAAACCGAGGCGAGTTGGTCGAGAAGACCAAGGCGACTCGGTCTGAAAAAGCGCAGGACCGCTTCCGTTGAACGCCGTACTCGTTCTCCATCACTGATATGGGAACAGTACTAGTGCCCTTTGTGAATGAACTGCTCTAAAAAGAGCAGAAGTTTCAAAATCCTAAGAAGGACTTGAAAAGTTTAGTTCTGAAAAGGAGAGGTGATTATTCCTCATGCCCTAAAGAGGGATGAAGTATGCTAAATGCGTCCCGCATGCGGGGCTCCCGGGAGGGACACCGGAAAATATTTCTAAGTTCGAAAATTCTTTTTCGGACTTAGAAAATATTGAGCTCTCAGGAATACTTCTAAATTCGAAAAGGAATTTTCCAACTTGGAAAATATTCAGCGCAGTGTAGCGCCGGCAGCGTTGCGAAGAAACGGCGGCTAGGTTCGGCAGAGGCAGCACAGCAAGCAGCGGCTCAGAAACTCCGACGTCAGTGTCAGCAGTCAGAATACTGCCGAGTTTTCTTTTTTCGATTTTCCTCTCTCCAGTTGCCCCGGAGAGGCGGGAAATTATTTATTACTCGGGATCCAATAGGCTGCAGCCGATTAGTGCATATGCAGCGGAAGTGCTGGCCTATCTTAAATAAACTATATAATATAAAATTATCAACAAATACAAAGGCCGCTTTGGCCCTTATCTTGTTAAAAGAAATTTCTTTAGTTTGATTGGAGTTCTTAAAATTGTTCTTCTTTTCCTCTTTTTGTTATTATTTTATTCATTTACACACTCATTCATTCTTAAGCTATATATACAAATACATTCATTCATGCAAGCACGCAACACTACTCTATTTACACTAGTTTAATTTGCCACAGCGCCGACTTCACTCAAGCATTCGTGGCGGCTCGACGTCTTCGGGTTCAAGCGGCCCAAGGCGTCCGGGGAGCGTTTCTGCCCCGCCCGCGCGGCTTCCGGCAGCAGTGAGCGACGACCGTTTCCCACGCACTTGCTGCTTCCCCGCATCGCACAGCTGAGAGAGCTTGTGTGAGAGCGGTGAGCGGAAAGTGGAGGCGACCTGCTGTGGGCCATTTCTTTTGTGGAAGGCCTTGTGCACGCCGCTACGCCGGCCTCGCGGGAGCGGACGACTTTAATGCCCTCTCCGCCCGCTTCTGCTGCTCTGTTTCGGCCCTCACTCACCTCCACACCCTTCCGAGTCTCCCTCATATGCGACAAAATAGCGTAAAAGGCACAATTAGAGACACCTTTCTGGCTATTGGCTACAGCGGATCCGCCATGCATCAAGCCCTATCGAGACTCCAGCCTACTACCTCGAGGGAACGGAACGAGCCTTCCAGTCCGCCCCGCAAGACAGCTCGATTACCTTATACCAGAGGAGTCGTGGACGAGATTGGTAGATTGCTGCACAGAGCCGATATCCACCCCGAGTTTCATGCTTGCAACAGAATTGGGGGAACCTGATTCAGGTGAAGGATCTTCAAGATGCCGACGTGTACGAAATCCCATGCTGTTGTAGTCTTGCTTACATCGGCCAAACCGGGCGAAGAGCGGTTGAGAAAACACATGCGACATGACTGGCTACAACGTATTCACAAGTCGGCCTTAGCCCAACACCCCGCGGAAAAGGGTCACCTCGTTAATTACCACCCGTATTACATCCACATATTATAGACCCGTACTATATCCACAGAAGACCGCTGGTGGCCTCGTTTAATCAAAGAAGCCTTAGAAATCTCCAGGAGGTCCACAAACCTCAACATACATGTTGGGCTCCGCCTTAGCAATACCTGGAGATGGTCCGTCGCTCCCCGCCAATACGGTCCCGCCCCGCGAAGACACTCCTCGCGGATGGCCAATGACGCGGCCGCTTATTGGCCAGTTTTCCTTTGGCATTTCCTCTGGACTCCGACCACGCAGATTCATCTTGTGAATATCCAACCTGTTCAGTTTTCTATTCTCTTCCCTTTACGCCCCACCTCACTCCCAACACCTTATATGGTCTCCCGGTAACGATTTTAACGAAATACCGCCTTGAACTGCGCGAAGGAGGTAAACCGAATTCCACGGTTTACCAAGGGTAAAGCCGATGGGAGATAATTCCACCGTATGCCAGCCGATGGGAGTGAATTCGTTATGGAAGTACGATTTAGATAGAGTTTCCCGAACGTTTTCAAATACTGCCAGGAAGAACTTTGGAGAAGACAAGCAGCTGACCGGCTGCTCATCACCGCGATGAAAGCAGCAGATGATGGAGACTTTGTGATTGGCACAATGCACCAGGAGGGTGAGATTGCAGCCAAGCGAGCAGACATGGTTCACATGCGTAAACGTGAAACCTCTTACGGGAATCCCTCCCAATCCTCACCCTTATCCCAAGATGTCGGCTTCATTGAGGTAAAACGCACATATGCAGCCCCAACCACCCTACAACCTATATCATGTTTTCCAAAGCCCGCTTCAACCCTCTGAAATCTTTGAACACTCCTGACCCACCTCAACCTTCAAAATAAATCCGTTTCCCAATTCCACCACCACTACCACCATCTCCAGTAGCCCAACCAACTGCAATCTCAAGAAGACGAATCGGAATGTTTAGACTGGACCTGAATGGAATTATTGACCACAACCGACTGGCCTCAGACTTGAAGCACGTCAACAAGAAGATGACAGTAAAATGTAATCAAATGCAACTTCTGATTCGACGGAAAACCATCCTGACTAACATAAAACTAGACGAGATACTTCAGGAAATGAGGAACGGCCCAACATTAAAAGGGCTGTTCTTTACTTCAACCATCAACAACCATTTTAACAGAGCAACCTTGGAAACCAGAGACACATTTATTTTCACAGCACTGCCCCTAGATGACATCAAAAGCAACCTAAAAAGACTGAACATTACCTAACTGAAATGTTGAAACGAACAAATGAAGGAAGACTACTACCCCTTGGTATTTCTGTCATCGAGGTCAACAAAAAGGACATCAAAACAAAACTACGATTTATAGAACACTACAGTATTAAACCTGAAGACTTCAAACCAAATGACAGAGTGGCACAGTGTCGGAATTGCCAACAGCTCTAACACACTTAATCCTACTGCAGGAGAGACCTGTTTGTACACATTGTGCCTGACACTGAAGAATGCCCACACGTCACAAAACCAAAATTTACACCGGATATATGCTAAGTGCCACTTTGACCATTCTTTTGAACACATATGCCCTTACATGACAAAAGCCAGAGAGATGAGACAAGGAAAACTAAACCAACTACAAAATACTCGGACATATCAGACACAACAAGCGCCTGATCTTTCGTCTACTCAAACCTTTCCCCATCTTATTTCCCAACCTTCAACAACTTTTAAAAATCTCACATCAAACCAATCATCACCCGAAGACTCATCAACATTATCAAACAACGATCTCGATAAAAGCATCTCACCTGCATACAACCCATCATATACACCCTTTAAGGACCAGAAAAACCCTCACCAAACTATTCACTGTAGCACTCAACGGCACACTACTTTTCAATTTGTTTTGAAAAATCGAAATTAGTGTTCGTTTTTCTGTCAAATGTGTTTGTATAACTAACAATGAATAGCGTCGAAAACATGGAAATGACATCAATGAAACAATCACAGAAAATAATACAGAAAAGAAATAGTGTTTACTGAAGCGACACAGAACCTAGAATGTCATCATGCGAAATCCCGGTCCTAGCCGTAAATAATTCGGACGGGTCCTTGCCGAAGTCGAAGCTGGTGTTGTGAAAAGAATTGTGGCCAACCCTCACTGCTTAATACAGGAACTGTTCAGTACGCTATCAAACTTCATAAGATGCCTTGTGTTTAATTGTCATTATTTATAATAATGAATATATGTGAATGCTGGTAACGTATGCCTGTATGAATGGGTATGTGTGTGTGAGAGAGGACGGGAGCGAGAAGAGAGATGTTCAACACCCTAATATCAGGACCACGAGCCGCCACTGGTTTCCACAAATGACGCCGTAGTATCAGCAGATAGCCCAGCGATGCCAGTCAATTAAGAATCCGGCCATCCGGCCTTCTCACCAATATTCTCTACGTTGCTCGGTACTGAGACGATGACGTTTTTCTCAATGCCGCATTTGTCGTAGTTCGGCCCGGCCATGAGAGGGCGTACCTACGTAGTCCCTGGGCATGTTTTCATTTTCCACTGGTCTTGTGAATGGGACGTCTTAAGAGGTCTCTGATTGGAGAGTGACGGCGGCGCGCGAAAAGCAAGTGTCAGCTGCAGAATTTTCAACTGCGAGATGTGATATAAATGAAAGATATGTTGTAACCCGTTTTGTAAACATGAAACTCAAGAATGAAGTAAAGTTCGTTATCAGACGAATTTTCTATTTTAACATGTTACTTCAATTACCAAAGATTGACATATTTCCTCAAAATCAACTTTATATGAATCATTGATAAGAAGTCATTTAACTTACAGAATGTTATCAATATGCACTTACAACGCTTAAAATTATACGTATATACTTCCTAACTTATACAGTGCCTTTCCTCAGAATACTGTGCGAAGCAACGCAGCGCCTCCTATCCTGATGGTGCAACCGGGCGCATGTCACTACGGGAAAAAATGACATCGCATGGCGCATGGCTGTTAGAAAACGTTTGAAATTGAAATATGGCTCGTATCACGTATGAAATTTTCATTATACATTCCCAGATGAATTTCACCATATTAAAATTGTAGTCATTTAATTTTTATTACGAAGTATATTAAACATATTCATCAAGGTAGGCAGTGCCTACCTTGCTTACCCCACGGAGCCGCCACTGCATGTATTCCTCGTGAAAAATATGTGCATGAACTAAACGAACTCTTATGTAGACATTCTTTCCATATACTGTAATCATAGTGTTGTTCCATAATTTGTTTTATAGTTTGTGATTTAATCTAAATAAATGACAAAAGGTTGCGATTTCAAGAAACAATACAATTTTTGTCATCATGACAATATTCACACAGACATCTTTATTAAACTTTGTTCAAATTATTACATTCATGACTAGTGGAATGAGGAGGGAAATGGAAAACCAGCAGATATAAAACAATGCCATAATACTACTGTTTCAAAAATAATCTTAGTAACAGAATATGGCACACCAAATTGTCTATAAATAACTTATTCCATCATTTCTGGGCATCATCACAATAAGTCAAAATGTAAAAAAGAACTGTATGTGTATTATATATAAATAAAGAATTGCTGGTTTTCTATTTTATACCTTCCATAAAACTGTATTTTAACAAGGGAATACGAATAACCAACTACTGTATTTGCAATGCAGAAAGTATTGTCTTTCTTTGCACTGCAAAGTCCTATACAAAGTAAGGTAAAATCTCAAGGAAAGACTAAGTTAAAAAAGTTTGCAGAATTAAGATATATTTTAGAATGCAATGTTCATAAGTCTCCTGAAATATTGTAGACTCTCTGTAAGGCAATAGCAAATATAGAACAAAATTTGAAATTTATACAATTGCCAGTACAAAAAAATTCATGTACTTTAAACATGTTCTTATTATATAAATATTTCATTCTGAATCTCAAAAATGCATTAAAAGGCCTAGCTTTAATAAACAATTTTTGAAGTATTTTTCATATTGTAAAAACAATTTTGAAGACATTTGTGCTGAATTTAGTACCACAAACCTGCTGTTCTGCTGCTTATGGAAATAACTCTAAGTCAAATTGCCTTTAATCAAACTGTTAATCAGTATGGCATCAAAACCTTAAAAAGACTTGCAGAATATGAATCCTTACACAGTAAAAAAGTCTCTTGAGATTGAAAAACTTTTCTTTGCTTCCATATGGACAGAAAATTAAAAATTACATGCCCTAAAATATTGTTTAGTTGGATGAGTTCCATGACAATTTTGTGAAATGAATAATCATAAAATTCTTGAAACTTTTTGTTCGAATTTTGTTCATAATTAAAAGTTGCTTATTTTCAATCGACTATAACAACTTCACAGAACGTAACCACTAAAAAGTAATCTACTTCTTGAAAATAAATATAACTCTTTCAAGGACTTCATAACTCTATTTACTATTAATTGTTTAATTAAATATACTAGCAGTGAATATTCCACTGGCAATACTGCAGTTTAACAGACCTTTCTTGAAAATTTGATCAGTGGACAATATTTTCTCATTTAACTATGTATCATGCAAAAATATTCATATTAATTCACAAGTACAAAATCACTTCAATGCTGGGGACAGACTGCCCCAAGGTCAAAATATCCTTGTCTTGGTGTAGTTAAAAATGCGTCATGAGACACAAATTACAAAAGAAATTAGGAAATAAAATAACCACAAATACTGAAATTCATAATTCTACAATGTACTCTTGGCACAGGTTAAGTATAAACTAATACTTATATAAATCATACACAATGTGTATGATCATCAGATTTTTGTCAATGTTTATTCAGCATCATTCATATTATTTTTAAGGAGAGTTTGACTAGGTGTTGTATAACATCAAGTACATTGCAAGAATTTTCTCCTTACTTTAAACATAATATTTTTAAACTGGATTTCTATAAACAAGACTGGAAATTTAACACACAAACATTCTACCCATGTCTAAATCTTTCAATTTTGAATTATTAATCTATAATCAGGGTCACAAATTGCCACAACTCTACAATCAGAATATAATTGATAATTAGTGCCACCATCAAAGGAATATTTCTGAAACTTCACAAAAATTAAATACTATAAATCATTTTTGATAATGTACACAATACAGAAACAGATACTGAAAAAAACAACCACATACTTAAATAGTACAAATTAAATAAATATGTTAAAAGACTCACTTGAAACAGAAACAACAACAAAAATACAGCAACAATAATATTATGTAGCTAATCATGGCACATGTTTACAATATGCACATTTCTAAAGGGTTAAATACTGAATTTATTAATCACAATACTCCATTAATTTCATTTAACTACAGCACAAGTGACTGGCACACTTGTTTTGCAAAACAAGAGAAATGGACAGAAAATTCTATTTGCATTTCAACAATGCTAGACTTTTAAGGGAAAATGCAATACCAGTTGCCTTACTTTCACTACATGTTTTTTCTCAATTTCTTTCACAGTCTAATATCTGCAATGGTAATAATTCTTTATCTTCTGTCCAGATCTTTCACATTACTTTAAATTAGATTTTCTATCAATGTAGTCACCAACATAAACAGCTTTAGTTGTAGTTCTAAAAAAATATCATCTAGTTTTCTGGAGAACATATTTTAAAATCTATATTTACCTATTCTACAATAAACATCTATATATTTTTTATAATAACATGAACAACTTCAACATAGACTTATGCAGTCACAACAGATGCTGCTATTATAAAACTTTAGGAAATAGTTTTCTTGAAAATAATCTATAAAAACGTCTCTGCTTTAAAAAATAAACAACAATCATTGTGGACAAAAAATACAACCCTGGAATGACATGTATAGGCAGATCTCTAAATTCTTAATACTATGAACATGCATTTTAATATCAAAAACCAAGTTCATTTTAGTGGATTAACAAGGTGGTCTACCAAAGCAATCCATTAGGTTTATCAGATTATTTGATGTGCAATTTGTTCAATTATTTTAGTGGGATAAAGAAGAATGGTTGGCATTTTTTTGTTGATATTCTACCAATTTTTAAACTTCATTTTGACTAAATTTGTACACACATTACTCCAGTATGAAACTGTCCGAAGTTGCAGAACACAAAGTCTAAATATTAATGTTTAATTTAGAATCAAAAAATTTTCATCCACCAATTACAATTCTCACAAATTACAAAACATAAGTTTCTTTTATTAAAATCTAATTATTTATAATTTTAAATGTGATATTTATTACACTTGCTTCCCTGTGGAATAAAGTTATTTGCTTGTGTAAACTAGCTTTAAGTGGAAACACTGGATTTAAATCTGAGAGCTCAATATCCAGTTTACAATTACATTACAGAGATAAACCAAGGTATTTCTGGTTTAATACACATTAAAAAACAAATATTTGAACTTAAGAGAGAGAATGAGGCAGATACAGAGATGAACTTCAAATGCAAAGCAAAATTCACTTTCATTTTTGAATTGTACCTTTACATTAAGTTGTTTTTTTTCCCGCAAAATGTTGTCTAAATCGACTGAAAAGATAAATGATAAGCTTTCCCTGTGAAATAAAGGCTTCTTTCCTTTGCACTAGGAGCTACGGTTCATGATTTAAGAACTATAAATTTCTTTGTATTTTACAGTCCACAATGAATTTGTCCATATGGAATAAAAAATAAAACTTTTTACAAAGTGATTAAGCTGATTTTGGAGTAGTGCAATTGGTGAAATGAAGAATTTTTATTACCGAGATATTTCAAATAAATTTCCATAAAAAATCAGAGAATTGTGAGTTTTGAAGGACATTCCGTCAGCTGAGTTATTACTTCACATTTCTTTTCTAATCACTCTTTTTGACACAAGGTTACTCAATTTACTAATCTATACATTATGTACACATCATCAAAGGACAAAAAAATCAACTCTTTACATCACACCCAATAGTTTGTAAGGAACGGTGAAGATGTGAACATTAGCTATGAATATTCACATACATGTATAAGCGTCATGTTTATATACAAATAACATTTTACAAATTAATTGATTTTCATCCATTCATCATCACAGCAGTCATTATTTTCATTCATTGCATCATTTGAACATATTTTAAAAACTTTGTAACAGTAATTAAATAAAAAATAATACATAATATCCATTTGTTCACATTATCTTCTCTAAGAAGAATTTTTAAAGACTGGAGGTCCCACAAGAAACCTCCGTTTACAATAAAATATACATGTAACCAATGCAGCACTTTCTACTGCCACTGAAAATTATTAGCTACATAATCAATAAAAACATGTCCTATACATAGTGCGACTTTTTAAAAAAATATCTCTGGTGGTACATGTCTCAAAACACTTCTTGATTAGAAGTATGTTGCAACATATCTTTAGTTTCATCATTAAGCACTGCACATTTTTTTGTACCAATAAATTTACCAAGAGTACGCCACAACGAAAAACCACGCAGCTGTCAGAGCTTGCCTGAGGAAGCAGAGGGCACACGGGGGGAACGACGTGAGCGGCCACTAGCATTGCGTTCCAAGCAACCCACACCTCCCATCAATGGATACGATGTTGCTCGCTTAGCAGACCTAATGAAACAAGGTGGCAACTATTACATTGAAAATATAAAGGATACTAAGCTATTGAAAAACAATACTGCATCTGTCTGATGTTTTTTGTTCCTGTAACAACACACAACAAATTGTGATCTACCAATTACACATCAATGTGTACATATGTTTGTGTGGGCTTGTGTGTTTGCGCACATGTGTATGCGCAAGTGCGTGTTCGTGCAAGTGTGAGCATATGTGCAAGCTTGTCTTTCATGTACCAATACAAAAATAAAATATAACCATAAAAAAAACCAATAAAAATGGGACCATTAGATGAACAGACCACATATTCTGCAAGACATTGTTTGATGACATTTCACTACAAAAAACAACATAATTTTAGTAAACAGCTACATCACGTAATATCAAAGCCACAATTCAAACAACAGGTAGGAAGACTCTTGAATGCTGAAAAAAAAAAGTAATGTGCAAGTAATATAGTAATTAATATTGTTCCTTTCTCCTAAAATAGTTTTATTAGTTCAGTGTTTTGATTACATCAGAAGTAAATTAAAAAATTGCAACTCATAGAAACGTGAGGTGGTGGTATTCATAATGTATCAGTAAATAAAATATAACTTGGCAGAAAGTAAATTAACTTGTTGAAATGTGTTTTAGATGTGAAGTTAAGGCAAAATATGATTGAGATGGTCAGAAGTTTAATACAAAGTGGACCTGAACATGCTAAATAAACATATTCAGAAATCAAAACTGTTTTCTAAACCACATCTAAAAAAAAGTGTAGCAAAGAGATGTGACACTGAGACCTTTCATGCAACATTGATCTTCTCATGCACCTTGGCTCAACAAATATAAAAATTCTAAAATACTTGCTAATGACACATTTTGCAGACTTCAAACAGTGTCTTAAACAATATAGTATATCATTTCTACCTTTAATAGAATAGTGCTAATATGACAGAAGAGGTAAGATGCCCTATCTTTTTAACATACATGTACAAAATGTTCCACCACTAATACAGAATATCTATAATATCCTTTAGTCAAAAGAGTTTCATGCTTAATATAAGTATATATTTAAGAAAGAAAACAAACTGATAGCTGCAATGAAAATAAATAGAGCATTTCACATTATAAAATTATAAGATCTGCATATACACAATTTTCATTTACGAAATTCATGCCTAAAAGTAAAAATTTGTTTCTTTCAATCTATCCGTAAGAGTAGGAAAAAATAAAATTATTTTTCTAGAAAATTTTCCTAAATTATTACATTTTTATTTATTTTTCATTATATGCTGTCAAGTTATATTTAATCTACTGCTGAAGACAAGGAAATAAACAGGTGAAAAAAAGTCAACTCATGAGAAGAGAAACCAAAAAAATGGATAGTTACCATCACGAGGGAACAAGCAGTCTCTTCCCTACTAAGAAGTAGGTGCTGGTCTGTACACTGTGCTACACATGACTAATGTACACTTTTTTCTTTATGTAGATGCTGCCTCGAGCAGGTGAAGGGATTGAAGTTTCATTGCTGAAACAAACCAGGATGCTTCCAATCACAGAGTAACTACAGAGGGTATCTTCACACCACCAAATCATACCAAAATTCAGGCAAAATACGCATAAATTATGAATTCACATTCACATACAAATGAGAAAATTTGACCCAATAAATAAATCATTGAAAATTGTTCAAATATTTTCTTTAATTAGAATTCTTATGCTCATTTGCAACTAGAAACCATATTACTAGAAATAACTACACAAATATATACACTTCATGCAATTCTTCAATTTTCTATTAATTTATATTGAAAAACTATTTACAATATTTTAATTCATCAACCTGTTCAAGTGTTCCAAAATTTGTTTAAAAAATTATTTGATTGCATTAATTAAACTAAATATAATTTATTTACTTTTCAATTACAGTATTCAGCCAAGAACAAGAAGTACCTTACATTTCATGTATGCAAATTTGATCAAGGCTTTCAACTATCAAGAAACACAGTAAGTAAAATTAAAACACTCAAACTGTCAAAATATAATACAATTTTTGAAACTATGATTACAATAGGTTTTTAAAACCATTTCATTTAAACGTTGAATATAATATTGCACCTGAAATTATTTGAATTCAAAATCAAAATAATTAATATTTCATTTTTCAAAACCAATATTGTTAGTAATAATTTAGGACCGATTTATTTTATTGGGTTATTTGTTAGTATTAAAGACATAAAACGCAAATTAATCTAAATTTTAAAGGAAAGAACATGCTGAATAGATTATAGATGTGGAATTTGATTTTTTTTATGCACAAAGAGCAAAAGTGAGAAAAACATGCGCAGTGATGTGTCAACTCCACATCTAGCAGAAAGAATATTAGTAGCACACAAGATAGTATATGTTTATACATGGAATTTATATGAAGCAACAATTTACACATAAAATTTGTTACACAGTCATGCAGTGAAACTGCAATAGTTAACCAAGTCTGAAAAGGGAAAAGGCATTGATTACTGGGATGTTTACTTTACATGTTATTCATGGTCCTTTAGAGCTTATTACAGCAGTAGTTTAATAAAAGGCAGAGAAAATGTGTTTCATGTCATTATTATTTACCTGAAAATGTAATTATCATGATATAATGTTCATCTGCACATGATTCATGAATCGCTCCTTCTAAACAAACAAAACAGTTCTTGGGAATTGTCAAGGAGAAGGAACAAGACAAACACTTGAACATGAAGACTAATGCAGGAGAGCGAGTAGAATTGGTAACTATTATTTAGTGGGGTCTTGTATGCTGTTTATTTGGCTATACATTGCTAAGACTATTATAATGGGTAGTTCTTTCGAAAAGGGTTTTGTGGTTACAAAAGCTTGTTTTAATAACTTAATTTAATACAAAAGTTAATTCTGCTGATTTATTTTGAGAGTTTTAAGAAAGTTTTATGAAATATTGTTTATAAGTGCACAGTCATCTGCAATATCATTACTGGCATTCAGACTTTGTAATAATTCTCTTAATGGGATTGAAATACCAAGAGGCATGTTATCTATTTTGCTCTCCTGTCTGTAGTCTGCATGACTTAAACACAGGATAACACTTTAAGTATTTACCACCTGGAGCACTACAGCTTTAAGACACTATCACAATACAAGCCAACTGATACTCAGCATATCTGCCATTTTGCAATTTGTTTCAAGTGTTCTGTCAACATACCTGCGTCTCCTAAGTGAAGCATTTTGTCCTGGTAACCCAAAGTAGCCTCGAGGGATGACCATGCGGGCATTGCCTTGAGCAGGTCGTGAGCCCCCATGGGCCAGAAGTGTTGTGAGATGAGCAGCATAACCATCTGCTAATATTGTTGCAAGGGCATGGTGCTTCTTTGAAACCTTGCCAACAATGAATATCTGTCTGGGTTTCAAGCCAATTGATGTGTACACACTAATATCTTTGCTGCTTCCATATGCCACATGAACAATCACACTGTGATCCTGCCACAAGGAAAACACCACAAAATTCTCCATAAAATATGTTACCTACTGTGCTATGATAAAGAGTGAAATCATGGCTGTGTCTATATCAAGAAGGCAAATAGAAATAAAGAGAGGTGATGCCAAAAATAAAGAGTACATGATAATGAAATATAACATTTAGGAAATAACAGGGAAGGAAGAGGGAAGGAAGATTGGAAGACACTTCAAGATCCAAATCGCAATAAAAGTATTGCAACAATACTTTTAAAAACAAACAACACGTATATTGAAGGATAAGGAAATAAAAAAGAAATATTTTCATGAAAAAATATAATAATAAACACCCAACAAACTAAAAGAGGGATATTAAACACAACCGGCAATACCCATTAAAAAATAAATAAAAATATATATTTCCTAATCATTAGGATAATTTGCATTCAACTTTGGCACTGAAACTTGGAATCCCAAAAGAAAAAGGTAAGAGGAATATAGGTCAACTTCAAAAATTACACTGTGAGTATGAATTAATGAAGGAACAACGATTAATGTGACAAATACTGTTAAAGAAATAACCTGTATGAGATTCTTCAAATAAACAGCTTTGTGGCCCAGAGGATCTGTAGACAAACCATCAGCAAAGGACACAAGTCCATGAGGAAAATTGTGTTGGGAAAGCCATGCCACAACCTTCTGCTGCTGCATATCAGGTCGACCCGTAATGTAGATTATCATGTAGCCCAACTCTTGCCAATGCCTGCAACGCATGCCCAGAATTCAACATCCCTTCAATATTTGAACCATCTTTTTTAATATTTGAAATATGTACATGTTTTGTTAAAACTTTTTCACAAAGTTGTTCGAAACTAAGATTGATCTAGAACCATTTACTAAATTTCAGAAGGATGTGGAAATTGCTGGGCTTGAAGCAAGCCCTCTCCTGAAAATTTAATTATATTATGTTGTTGTTTCTTTTTACAAAACTTATAATCGTGGATTGTATGTCGGTGTGTACTTACTGGACATTATTTGGTATTTGAAAAGATTACATGATGTAAGTTTTGTATGTATTAACTAAAATTACTCAATCCATGTCATGTGTTATAAAACAAATAATCTGAAATAATCTAACTCTGTCGCATTTGCCACAATAAAATATTTCTCCTAGACAATTTCAATTAAACAATTAATTTTGTTTTACAAACAATTTTACACATCCTAAAAAGGCACTTACCTCACAATATCCACAGCACCTGCACGAACCTTTGGATCTCTGCCAGTTACAGACATACTAGCTGTAAATGAGCCATCGATGCTGAACACCACAACCTCTGTTTTTGGGGGCACAACAGCCATGTAGAAGTCCACTGATGTGTGATCACCCCTAAAGAACATGTATTTCATGTCAGTGTGTAAAAATGAACTATCTACAAATATAGCTCTTCCACTCACCTCACAACCATTTTGATGGGATACATTCCGTACCCCAGAGCTTGATCCTCAGGTATTATGTATGTAACTCGGCCAGATTTATCAGTGACTTCTGTGGCTAAATGCAACCATTCTCCAGCTGGTGCATCTTTCATTACGTGAATATCCACTTTCTCACCTGTAAATTATTAAATTATCCTCCAATGAAAGTCATTATTTAACATGTATGCAAGGTATAATGCTAAAACTTTCTTTTTTCTGGGTCACAGTAAACAGTATAATGAAAGTACATTAAACTGCAGGGAAAATGAGAATTAGAGAAACTAGTGGTACAACAATGGTCCAGACTTCTCTTACTAGTTAATTTCTTAATATGTTTAGTCTGGGCTAGCTTTCTGGTTTTCTCCACCCTCTTCCTGGCTGCTACCTATCAGAGCTGAAAATAATTTCTTTTCACAAATTTTCTCAATTTTTTACTCCTCTGATGGGTGCACCCTAATGATTTCAAAAAAATTGCACCTTTGTAATTAAAAAAGAAAACACCAAAATGATTATGTTTATGAATATTAGTCAATGAATTTAGTTCTATCCATAGAGAAAAAATTGGAGCCACTTTTTGAGAAAATCTTGTTTTTAATATTGTTCATTATTGCTCATACTTTGCCCAAAATTGTGTGAAAACCACTAATAATTTCAAACAAATGTACATGACATTTATTATAGAACTGATTGTAAACAACAAATTTTATTTGAAGAAAAAATCTCCATCTTTAATATTCCAGTTATAGGAAAACACCAATATGTTCAAAGGACTATATGTCAAGTAATTTAAATATTTTTTTTCAAAATCACAGCGCATTAAGACAACTCACATTGACCAGGGAATTCATTTTCACAAAATTCCTACTAGTATTTAAGGCAATATTGTTGTTTACAGATGGATGAACAGAAAGAAAGACAGACAGATGTTTTGATAAAAACAAAAACCTTTTTTGGTATTAGGAGACATGTTATTTCCATTGAAATCTCACAATTAATTTTCCACAGCATTACATAACTCTATACAACATAAATTATTCTGTAGATACGTACGTATATGAGAAAGTAAAAAGAGGAAACAATAATCAGTTAACATGTCAACATGGTCAACTATAATTGATTAGTAAATTTAAAATTAAAAAAAAAATGGGTTAAGGGTCTAATCTAGGAAAGAAATATTAAAATGATTTATTACAATTTTGATTGAAATTTTTATTCATGCACTTTTCTTAAATGTGAGGGAACATTTTCAGAATATCAAATGTTTAATAATCTAGTCAAAAATGATCAAAGTCTCACCAAAAGTTTAAATGTTTATATAAACAAATGAAAAAGATGTTCTCGTAGGTGTATTGAAATCATGTTTTTCTACAATACTTCTAGAATATCCTAGAAGGAACCAGCTAAGAATAGAACCAATAGATTTGTCTTGTTAAAAGAAACAAATGAGTTATTAATCACCTCTAGGAGCCGAAAGTCACCCAAAATTAATTTTAGTTGCCAAAAAAATACAAAAAACACATTTTTAGAGAAATTTCTAAGCATCTTGTGGATAGAACT